TTACAATCACTTGGTATTGAACTATCCTAGTATTAAATTTATATTTAAAGTTACATATCCTGTAATCATTATTTCTAGCATGTTCAATTCATAATGATTGCAAATAAGATCTTTTAGAAACTGGAATGAATTGAGGTCTAAGGGAGGCGACCCGAATAGCGTACTTATCTGCCTTTTTTCATACAGGCATACATTCACTTACTGATAGTCTTTAAAATAATGATGGAGCGGAGTGGATGAGTTGTAATGTGTTGGGAGTGTGCTCGGGGATTGAGACTTGATCCCCACTCTACTATAATTTTACTATTGATGTATAAACTGAGGTCCCCCATGTATAGGTACTAGGACCAGGGCACTCCTTTCCCAGTACACAATATAGCTACCATTTACGATATTTCACTTGATCTAGATTTTTCACTTTTTAAATAATGATATTAGTACCAATTGATATTTTTTACTCTATTACTTATATAGCAAGTAGTCTACTCGGAGTTTTTATATATGAAATATGTTTTAGTATAAAAAATAGATATTTGTCAAAATATCTTAAGCCAGGATTTCCGGTTAGGGTTGGGGTGCATTCTAGTGAAATAGTTACTGTGGTTGACGCTGTACGCATTTAGCCTCGTCGTACAAGCAGCGTATTTTTGTGGCTGAGGGTTGAAGGTACGGGAAAGGTCTCACCTCTCTTTGGCGGAGTGTCGGGAGCACCAAACCGGGAAAATGAAGGTGTAAAATGATGCATTCTGGTGATTTTTGGGGTGTTTTTGATGCAATCAGACTTTCAAATATTGTTCATAATATATTGAGAACATCTGTCCTTTAACATTATATCCAGAGTCAGTGCTGTCCCAAAATCCCAACTGTTTCCATTTTATTTATTTTACATGACATTTATATAATGAATAAATAATATATTTTTCAAGAACATTTCATTATTATCATCCACATATAATTCTTTCATGATGGTTTGTTATCATCATAAATACTTATGGCATTGCATACTTTCCCTGATAGACCAAACCAATACACTTAAAATGCCCTTTTTTGTTTGCAAATAGAAAGTAAAAACCATTGTTTTAAGTAAAGTATCTCACTATCGTACTGTCGCCATCACATTATCGCATTGTCGTACTGTCGTCAACCCATTATCGCACTGTCGCCCATCGCATTGTCGTCATCGCACTATCGCCCTCTGGATTATAAAGTATAATCACAATGGCCCTAACGGTTTTCCGTAGTTAGCACATGTAATAATCATGTTTTAACCCTTTCCCTCATGAGCATATTGTGAAAAATGGCCATTTTCATTGAAAAGCCTCCTGTTACAAGTTCAAACTGCTATGAAACTATGAAAAATGCTTCAATACTAAACAAACTTGGCACAAATGTTGACTTGACCATTGCCTTCGTAACGATATGCTCAGTCTTACATTTCCTGTTACCATTGCAACGAGGGGACATCTCAAAATTGCCATAAATCACTATTTTGCCTTGATTTTTTCCATCAAAATTGATCTCAAAGTGCTGCAACATGTCAAGGGATTGAGATAGAGTCAAAGGCTTTTCAGCGTTGGTTACACGTTACCTTATGATCGACCTGGGGTCATTTTTAGCCTCTCACAAGTCCAAAATTTTCTTGGCGATGAGGGGGAATACCGCCCCCCTTCAAACCCGCCAAACAGAATGGGGCATATCCCCCTTCTTGCCAACCCCCTGATGTATCTTTTGGACGGGGGCGGCGCCGAAAAAGTGCTCACTTTTTTAGCAACATTTCCCAAACGAAAACATGTGTTTGGGGCCCAAATAGGACACTTTTTCACTATTTAAGGCCTACAGAGGGGGGGGGGGGTCAAAAGTGCGTTGTTTCGTGTATATGAGGTAAAGGGTTAAATAACTTTTGCAAATTTATAAGTAGATTTGTGTCCAGTTTTCCCCCCTTACCTTTGTGGGTTATAATCCCGCCATGAATTATGGATTATTTCAGGTGAGGAAGCTATCAAGCTGGCTTATGGGACGTCGGTGGTTCTTCTCAAGTTCCCATTCATGTTTCTAGAGGCACCAAATGTTTCTGGAAACTTGCTATATGACCTTACTGTGTTTTTGTGACGTTTAAATTCGGACTTTGCGTGACCTAATTTTTAAATTAGAAGTTTTAGGAGAATTAAAATTCTTATTTGTTCTTTGTACAAAAACCGTAATAAGAAGGTACAAATTTTCAAATTAGGCTTTTATTTTATATTTAGTCATTTAAAGCTCCTTCAAATTAAGGTATCATTTCTCAACTCCTAATAATGTTTTATTTCTCCTCATTAAGCTTTTAATTACAAAGTTGCTTTTAGGTTTATTTCTCTTAATTATCAGGAAAAATTATTATTTCGTTGAGAACTGTTAGGAACAAATTGTAATAAGGTTTTTCTATTTAAGAGAATCAAAGTCCTAATTAGTCTGTTATAACTAAATTAATTAAAAGTGAAAAAATAAAACCCTTTAAAAGAGGTATTTAGGTTTAGTAGTATTTAGGCTTTTAAAACTCCTTATTACAGCCATTTTTAAGAACACAAGATTTTCCACAAGACTTTTGACTACCAAAACACCTATGCAAAATTTTTCATTTTTAAAAGATTTTCGACCATGCGACCACATACATGCATCGAGGACATTTTGTAAGGAAAGTGACCGTGCGACCACATACACGCATCACAGGATTCCCCTTCTCTTACGAGAAAGGGACAAAGAGTTGTCCGCCCTTTTATTAAAGGGCAGACTTTAAAAATATGCCATTGCCTTATTATTATTTATAAGGTGGCTAAATTTCACAGATATGTTTTACATTGGTTTATATACAACTATAGTTACGCAAATCAACCGGGGTATCATTTTACGTCCTTTAAAGTCCGCTATGAAATTTTGAAAAGATCATATTTAATTTCTTGGAAAATTTTTAATTTAAAGTTTGTTTCTACTTTTCATTCTATGTATATAACAGAATTATTATATTTTGCAAAGCATGAACGTTTCAAAAACGTTTTATATGCATTAACTATTGAAGATAGATTTCACACTTTGGTTTTCAAATATTAGCCTGGGGGCATTTTTGCCAAAGTACGCATGTAATTTCTATATTCGACTTATTCTACTTATAATAGAACTAGAAAAGGTAATGTTATGTGCTGCAAGAAATAAACTACATTTTACTTTAGCAGCTAACAATTCTGACACAAGTAAGACTGTACATATTTGCTGTAAACATGCTTGCAGGTGAAAGGCCGACACAGACCATAAATATTCTGATCTAATATTGAATTTAATTGAATCTTTCTAGAATAAATTTCTCGGTGTGTTACATTTATTTGATGTCGTAGCTCGAATCAAAGACATCCAGGGTTGCATAAAACGTTTACAAATGTGTTTTAGCACCAAGGGGATCTTTGGCACAAATTGTGGTCATCAATTTACAATACTTCATTTTCAACCAATTACTTTATACATACACAGCAAACCCTTTCCTATCTGAAAGATATTTTGAAGCGCGGTCATATGCATGAAGACCGTCTCTAGTATAAAATAATATAATAACTATAATTTGATATAACCTTAGTGTTGCAATTTTAAATATTTGTATTGGTAAATGATGGTGAGGGGAAAGTGGTGGAGTTTACGTCGCAACGACAGAAGACGACTGGTGGAGCAAGATCCCAGGTGCCACTTCGTGCATTATCTCAGGCTCGAACGACCAACGGTGTTCTGTAAGATAGCTGCATAGCTTCCTCACATGAAAGAGTCCGAAGTCCCGGTCGGGATTCGAACCCACAGAGGTGAAAGGGCACGTGGTTTGATGTCAACGTCCTTAACCACTCGGCCACGGACATTTCTCCTTACTTAAAAAGTATGCAGGATGAAATGAAGTCTATATTTGATTACGTTTCAAGTTGAACAATTCTGATTCCGGGATTGTCTACATATAACACCAATTATGTCCACGAATGTTAACTTTTTTCCTTCCTCATTTTTCTTCGTTGTTTGATAATTAGCCGTCGCATTAGCAGGGTCGACACACGGCAACGCGAAGTGACATCGCGACAACGCGAAGTGCCATAGCGACAATGCGATACGCCATCGCGATTTATCGTGCTTTTATAGGCGACATTTTGAAGTGGATATCGCAACATTGTCGTTTGAGATTGTCGTTTGCGATTGTCGGGTGTCGCTTCGTAATATCGCTATGTCATTTCGCGTTGTCGTGTATCGACTATGCAAAGGCGACGGTGACATTATGAATGGCCAAAACAGGATTCCGTACATTTTTTTTCTATTTTAATTAATAGTTTTCAGCAGAATTGGTGGGTTTTATCTAAATAATATAATCTGAAAAAACTAGTCATGTTTTGATCAATGATATCATTGTTAAATGCAATCTGAATCTGCAATTCGAGCACTAGCATTTGTCAGCCGTTTTAACTTTTCAGTTGTATAAATCGTCACACCTGAATGATAATGTTGTTTGTTTTATCGAAATTATTTACAATAAATACGGCACGTTGTATGTATTTAACATCTTACACTCGTTAAAGCCACTGATGCAATCCGGGTTGTATATACAAATGTATACAAATATACGTATTCTCATAAAAAATTTGCTTGTGTAGATGTATAGATGTAGATGTTAATGAAGATAACTTGCGCATTTGTTCTGAAAATATATTATCTTTATTGGACTTCATTTAAAAGTAATTTGAAGTTGTAACATGTATATTAGCAATTTAAATTATCTAACTTAACGTATTTCATGTCATTTATTTATAATATATATTCATTATTTACGTGCACGTATATGATTAAGTAAAATAATAAATAGTAAATTAGTATGCTTTTTTGTTAGTTTTACGGCGCATAAAAGATGTTAAGACTACAGTTATTCAAACCCATTTAGTACGATCACGCAGGGATAAACGGTAGTTGCATTAAAGGCAAACCCTCAGCCACAAGGGGCTACAAAATTAGTAGTTTATTGATAAATTTAGTTTATTTCATAATTATGCATAGCAATATCATTTCAAAAATATATTTATATATTTATGTTGGTCTTAACTTAAGAAGAAAAAAACTTAACATTCAACTACCTAGTCAGTTTTATTCCGGATCACTATAGTTTATAACAATCCACCAAGCTACCGCAATACTCAGAAAGAACCCTATCGCCATGATGACGTTCTTCGCAAATTCTCCACTGTTGTCTTCTGCGTAAGAATCAAATGGTGACCTCATTATTCAAATAAATGGAGATATAATGTCATTTGGGTATCAGAACTGATGCATCAGATATTTGGAGCAGACTGTAGTTTCTTTGTTCTTTAGGTTTAAAAGACGGTAACTCCTAAGATATTCCAATTGCCATGGTCAATTATGTAACTAGTTATTCTGACTAGATGAATATTTGAGTCTTGTAAGGCTGGAAACTGTATCTATTATAACTTGTTTAACAACTGAAAAAAAGAAGAAAAAGTATAAAAAGATACGGGACTGAAATATACTATGGTAAATTCAATGCGACTTCCTGTCGTGGCCAGAAGTGAAAACTATCGACACCACCACCGTCAATACGTGTTTCGGTTTCTTAGACTATTAAATTCATTCGATTCTATTTCTCTACATTCCAAAAATTAATATGTATATTCATTCGAGGACGTTTAAATCAACCCTCCATATGTTCCCTGGTCAGTCCACATTAGCACTGCTTCATAGGGAGGCACAATTTAATACATAGATAACATCTAAATATAATACTAAACAAACGCATATAAAATTTCATGTGAAATATTAAGATAGGATACTAACTCAGTTAGATAGAGTCGCGGTCAACACTATTCCAAGCCGTCTATGATTGCGATACTCCAAATATTCTTTTTAACGAAATGATTGATATTTGACAACCGTTTTACTGACGCAAACTATCCGAGGTGAAAGAATGCGGAAGATTCATCGTGAAATTAATCTAATTGTAAATATAGAAATACTATTATTGCGTACGTGCCCTGTATGTATAATATCAAACTTATTGAAGCGATGCAACGTCGTGTTGCTAATGTTAGAGATTCGCTCTCGTTACGTTTCAACAGTATGTATGGAGCAAATCAAAGGGAACGCAAGTAATTAATCATGATTTCATTTTTATTATATTTCAATTTGCATGATTTGAGTACATTGTAATACATTTAATTTAGCAAAATCTCAATTATTTATACTCTTGCAATTATTTTCAATAATAGTAATAAGCTATGTACATTAAACAGATAAAATCGATCCATAGGTGTCAATTTTTCATACACTAAAAATTTTCATTGTCAATTATTTTCAATAAGCCATATATAAATACTCTGTTTATGTACAATATATATGTATGTTGCATTAATATATAGAATTTTTATGTTACAAAGTTATGAAAACAACATAATTCTACTGTTATGTTTTGTTTTTTTGTTGTTGTTTTTTTGTGTTTTTTATTCCAATTGCTATAAAATATTTCATCAGATATATAGTTTTATACACTTTAAAAATAGTTGAATTTAAAATGTTTAGAAAAATATGTAATTCTATAAACTTTTATATACACACATAAAAAATCATTGGAAGGAGATATATAATAATGATAACGGACGGCATTGAAAAAGAATTTGACTGGAATGTGTGCAAACAAAGATAATGCTGATGACTTGATGCATATTACAATTTACATGTCTGATGAACTTGCTGACATTTGCCTATAGCAACAAAATGTATATTTCTCATTTCTGCTCTTTCGACATAAAAAAAATGAACATAAATCAAAATATGAACATATAAAAATGATCGATAAAGATATCAAAGTCTTAGTAATGAATACATGTGTACCATAACAATAAGATGAACCCTGTGATTTTATGATTTTTTTTATTTTTGTTTTGATTTTTTATTATTATTCTTATTATTTATTATTATTATTTTTTATAATACAAATGTATTTTGTCTAAAATTTGTGTTTAAAATGTATACAAACATATTATTGAAGAAACAATCCTCACTTGTACTTGTTATAAAACGTATCACATTATTACAATTATATTTCATATACAGAAATTTGACATTTCAGTAATAGTCACTAGTCGATGATTAACAAAAGTCTATCATGGTAACGAATTATTGCAAAAAATGGTGTATAATAAGCGAGTACTTTTCAACAATCATGTATCGATAATGAGAAAGTTGTAATGAAAGTATGAAAGTTGCAATTGACAGATTCCGACGATCACCAATTGTCGTGCCGATAAGTTGCCTTTGATTTCTAAGAATTTTAATCCAATAAATTTCTGAATATGCATCAAAATATTCTGACATTATTTACAAAAATGTATGTTTTTTTCACTTATACAATGGATATGTCATTAAAATGGTATACGGAAAGCTACAGCTTTTTCGTATATATTTGCTAATGCTGTAAGTGAAAGAGTAATTTCATTTCTTCTTCTTCTTCATATTTAAGGAATTGATCACTTAATTTCACACGTTTCTCCTAGGTAAATTTTATTCTAATAATTTTTGTCCGTAGATCATATCATGTCAACAAATGGTATGGCACCAACACAATACGTTTTTATTGATATCAGTTGACATTTTTATTTTTGTTCTTTTTCTTTTTGTCTGGTTGCCTTTCTGTAAAATCTGATCCAAGAGTATGTCCTTCTGAGCCACTGAAAATATGAAGCATTAGTATTTGATATGTGTTAAAAACTTTATTAACTTTATAAACTTTATTACTAAATTACTAAATTTAAATACTTGCTCAATCTAATCATAGTACAATTAGTTTATCATTAACATGTTTAAACTAAACAATTCATGCTCAAAAGGGAAACTTCTAGATCAAAGCCATCTACAATGTGTGTAGTTAATTTACAATAAATCCTGACAATTATCCATCTGAAATAATAAAAGATCGAAACTGCAATATTTGATGCACCTTACATCGGTTTTACATTGATTATTGTACATTGTTTTATTAAATATTTAATATATCCTTCTGAAATGATAAAGGATAAAAAGCAATATCTGTTTCACGTGCATAGGTCTACATTTGTTATTGTTCATTGTTTTATATAGATTTTTAACGTTTTTATATACAAATGTATAGATGACATTTAAATCTTAAGGTGGTACACCCCTCGTGCATTACCTATTCAAATGTTTAGGGATTTTTGTAAATAAGGTTCTGTAAGTTGAAAAAAAATGTCAAACACATAAAAGTGGGTGGGGTAGTGTAACATTTTCATACATATTTCATATATTTTAAATAGAAACAATTATTTTGCTTATGTGGATTGTTAACTGACGGTTGCTTTTTGTTGTTTTTTTTTAAAAATAATGTGAAATTTTTTTTCATAAGGATGATATTAAGAATTATTTAGAGTTTGCTCATTTCTGAAAAAGAGCCCATATTCTAATAGCAAAGTTTTAGATCAGAAAATTATCCATTACTCATAAAGCGTAAGGTAAATTTTGTTTAAATTTTGCATAGAGGTGTCTTTTAAGGCATTTAACTGTCCCACGTTGTCAATTTTACAGTACCTTTCAGTGCCCATTACGGGTACCGGTATCCTAACCTAATTTAATTTTGAATCTTTGAACACAATTTTGCAAATATTACGAAAGACGAAACATATATCTTTAATTCAGTTGTATTTTTCATTATGCTGTCATTGTTTTTGTTGGCAATATTATTTATAGAATTAAGATAGAATATGTTAATACATACAAAGCTCGAAATCCAGAACAAACTTCTATTTCACATTTTCCAGTTCCACTGTAAGTGTAATCCCCTCTTTCTTTATCCTCCCAGCGGACCTAGTTCATTATAATAATAAATAGTAATCGTAGTTCAACAAAAACAAAAGATTATCTAATTTAAAGCGGCCTTCAGCTTTTATTTTCTGTTGGAAAAACAATTCTGTGTTGTTTCAAACTATGAATTTCAGTAATTTTATTTTGGAAAATGTTTCGCATCACTGTTCAGCGTTCTTCAAAACAGCGTCCCAAGAGCTATTTATAGCGCGTCAGTGACGTGCGTTTCTAAAAATAGAAGATCGGGAAACGAATCGTCCGTTTTACTTATTTAAATATAGAGAGCGGACCGATAGAATTAAGGTATCGAGGGGTTTCCAAATTGTTAATGTATTTTAACGTCGGCAAATACAATAGTCCATCTTAATCCTTTTGAGTTTACAATTACATGAAACGATTTTTCTAAAAATAACATACTGAAACTTTAGAAAAGTGATTGAATACCTAATTAAATGAACAGTCCATCAAATGAATAAGAACAATTATGAAAGTAAGTGACTTGAACGGTTAAAATTTTCGATGAACTTTTTATTCACTTTAATTTAGATTTAAAATAACTTTTTATTATAATAAGAAATTCAATTTTATTATTAGCACTTTGATTAGTGGTACAACTTTATCAACATGACAAAATTGTAAATGTAATATGAATTATCAAGCTTTGTCTATCTCAATAATCCATTGCAAAGTAAGTAAATTATTTTCTGTCAAACCAATACAGCAAATATAAACCTACTGTAGCTTTGGGCTCTGTAACTTTGATAACGACCCCTCTTTGCCAGTTTTGAGCGTTTCCTGCAGATTTTGTCCAATCTTTACCTAATAAAATATCATAAAACAATTTTACAAAATTGTATCATTGTTTTCAAGAGATATTGAGAAATAATAACGAGTTCATTCTAAATCTTGTATAACTGTAACAAAACTGACTGAATGCTAAGTTTTTATATATGTTTAAAAACAGTGCTTGTGGCAAAAATGTACCTGGTCTAACAACACAACCAACTGCGATTTCTTGCCCAATCTTCAGTTTTCGGGGTTCATCAACAATGAGAACATCATAACCAGTTGCCCCATACCCGTAAACATTGACTCGACCATCTTCGTCCCATTCAACCCATACATGCACTCCTTCATACAAAATAAAAATTATGTTATGTGTTGTATTTCATTTATTTAATATAGTGTTTGCCTCTTGAATTGTGTGTGTGTGCTGGCGGGCATGTTTTGTATATTCTACCTTGAAGTTTATGAAAATTGGAAAATAAAATAAATACATTAATCAACATTAATCTCATTCTTGCGATAACTAGTTTGATATTATGATTTATAACATGATTTCATGAATCATTATCATAAGTTCAAAACAATATCATATTACCATCATCACCATGTCCAACTACTGTGCCAGGACCGTTGCTATCTTGCATGTCCCAATGCCAGTCTGGTCCTCGCCTTACACGGCTTCCCAATGGTGGTAAATTACTACCTGATAACTCCTTGTATGTATTTCTCGACTGCTTTGCTAGCATTCCGGTGAACAAAGATTTTCGCGCATCACTTTTAATTTCCTCAATCATAAGCTATTGGCAATAAAGAAAATGTAAATGTACATTTAGAGATGCAGTTTTTTCTTTAGAAGTCAAAGCGAGTAGAATTACCGTCTGAAAACCGAGATCAACAAGAAAGGGACATATCCCCAAACACAGGACCACAGGCAGGGCGCCCAGCAGGACACCAAACGGGACAGGGCACACGGGCAAAGTAAACAACATGAAACCTATGTGGCACGTAAACTAGCATATTTTTACGGTTTGAACCGCTCTAATGCAACATATATTTTTTTACTCTTTAAAACATTAACATAAGGTCATGGTATGTTGCCTTTTCTAAATCAGCAATGAGAGTTCATAAAACACAATGTCCGGGACCATTTTACCCTTGCCCTAGCGAGCATAGAATCAGTGACACCTGGATTACAAACTCGAATGCTCTCAAAAATTGAGCTATACGGATATCAGCATACAAAGCCAGACCAATAAGAATACACTTTCGTTAAATACAGATGTCGCAATTACACCGACTATCTACGGGTTTTGTCAGCTAGGGGATCTGAGGGATGTTGCACGTATTGATTATCCCTCATGTACAGACTCAATCAAACCGAGTCTGTATTTCTCTTGTAATTTTGTTGTGATTAATGCTTTCGAGGGATCACTTTGTTTCCAGATTTTTATACTTCACAACAGCAGGTGTCAAGTGCTGTGTGGCAGCTGTAAAAAGTTGCCCAGTACTTCACTTCAGTGTTGTTATATTTTCTGGTCCTTCGGGATCATTGATGCCAGTACTATTTAGTGTTGAGAATTGAGTACCGCTCAAGCCGGTGCTAGGGGGCGTGAGGGATGTTGCGCGTATTCATTATCCCTCATGTACAGACTCAATCAAACCGAGTCTGCAATTCTCTTGTAATTTTGTTGTGATTAATGCTTCCGCGGGATCACTTTGTTTTCAGATTTAAAAATGGTTCTTAATAAACAAAATAGTATAAAAATGAAGGGAATAAAATATAATAAACAAGATCATCAATGAAAGGCGGCGTTCAATGAACGAGAGGAACAAAAGAGGAAAGCGTAGCGTCCAACTATAAATGGGTTGAACACTAAGCATGCGAGAAAAATTACAATGACCCAAGATCTTACGAAGTTTGTAAACAACATCCCCGTAAAAAGCTGGCTGGCTAATCCCTTGTCGCAGAAGAGTTTTCAGATCACTATTGAATTTTGAAATTAAATCAAAGTTACGATTGTAAAATTTTGTAAAATATTTATAAAAATTATAAAAATATATTAATTATAAATGAAATGGACAGTCAATTGTTTCAGTTATAAAACATTTCAGTCAACACAAAATTGACAATTAAAACATTTAATTACCTTGTCTTCCTGGGAACAATCTTCAAATGATTGGCGACCACCTCCGAACAGTGACAACGGATCAAGTCCAAACGGATCTGATATTTTCGACTGGTGTAAAAATAAAATGAAGCATGACCATGAGTTTTAAAGGGCACGTTCTACAATGAACATGTACCAATCTGACTAAAGTTCAAATCAACATGTAATAACAGACTGAACATGCACTATCCATGTAGAAACATTTATTTTCTGTAAAAAGTATTAAAACTGTAGTCTTTATATTAAATGGCTGTTTTATTTATAAAACTATCTTAATGATACAAAAACGTATTCATTTATATTGCTGAATGCATAAATATAATCCATGATCTTGTGTATGAATAAATATCTGTGCGCAGAGCACTTAGATACTTACTGTTAAATAAGTACGCCTTGAAAACTGTCGTCCAGATTTGTAATCAAGTTTTTTGCCATCTACTATAGCCATCATTAATTCGCTAAACTGTCGTGTTTCCTTTGATATAAAATTGTTTTATATTAGAATGATTAGCTCTTTCGATAATAATAATACTATTCTGTAAGAGGAATAAATTAAACTACCGTCATGAATTTTTTCACTTAGCTATTAGAATATATATTTTGGCTCGTATTTCAGTAAACTTGTTAAGTATTGATGAGAAGATATCTTGCTGACAAAATGTTTCGATGACTGATGATGATGTACTCAAAACAACCATCAGCAAAACTATTGCATAATATACTTTCGTTTTTATACAACATTCATCAAATGAAAAACGCTTAAACTCATATGCTTGTTGATTTTTTGTCTGTTCCTGAGGGTGTAATAGAATTATTTAGCCTGTTTTAGTGGAGCGTTGGTTAGAAAACAAAAGTTTATTGAATAGCACTTTATAAACTATTTTTCTAACTATTTAAATTGTTTAGGTTTCTATTTAGATTAACCTTAACCTATAATAAAGTAAATATTGTTGTACTATCTTGACAATAAGGAATGGTTGATTAGAACGTTATAATCATACTTCGCTTCCTTTCCCTACTTGGACATAATACATGTCAGGTTGACTGCCCTTGAATTCCTCCATGATCTGTATTAACTTTGCTTTAGTCTGAAAAGAAAAGGAAAATAAAAAAGTGAAAACAAAACGTACCCACTCATAAGTCATATGTAATTACATTGTTACTAGTCTTGTAAGTTTAATACATAGACATATTAGATGTAATGGTCAACCATTTGAAACATCACCAGTATCATGAATTTGTTTAAGAAATAAACCAAACTTGACGCAATTTGATGCTATAGTGATGACCATTGTCGGTCTATATTGCGCTTCTGAAACCTATTTTCATTTTAATGTAACTTGTTTCCATGTCATGAAATGTTATTGTCGTCATGGAGATTCATATGAATTCTCACTGTCCCGTTCAGGTCGTAGACAGGTTCAATTAAGACATTTGATTCTTGACCTCTCCTATGAATTTAAATATTTTTATTGTCGTAGTCTACGTAATGTCTTAATTTATTAAGACACACATGCGACCATTTCACATCTAGCTTTTGATATGTAGTCATTTTAGAAGGCTTACTTCGTTTAAATCTTCGACTGCTTTATCCGGTCCTTCATACTGGCCTACTTCAGTAATAAAACCGTCCGTCACTATTATTACTTTATGAAATACTGCCACTTGATTAACTTTCTCTATATGGTCTGAAATACATTTAAAGTCCACATTATTTAAATGTAAAAAAAATCAAATCAATATGGCAATATTTTATAAATAGAAGAAAACAACTGTTTTTGACATGTCTCTAAATAAATTATTTAAAGCAGCATGCCTCATAATTCATGTTTTTTATGAAAATAGCTTTAAAAAGTATGCAAAAATATGCGTTAATGAAGCAGTAGAAATATGTTGATGAACACTGCAAAATCAGTCATAAATACATCTTTGTACGCATAACACATCTTGGATTTTTTTTACTTTTTTTAAACCTTCGTACATTTTTTGTCATGTTTATTTTTTATTGAAATAGTTTGGATCATCTGGAGGCATGCAGTTTTAAGGCTTGCACTTCTTTCTTATCAAACTCAGATTAGTAATATATGAAACTGATATAAGCAATATAAGCAAAAGAAAATATCACGAATTGATGATCCTGCTGCTGCTATTGCCAATGCCAGTCCTCCATACAGTGGACTTGGTCCTCCGAGCCGCTGATTTTCTAAAATAAAAAAATAATGTAATTATGTGATCACGTGTTAAACACGCAAATAGCGTTGATAATGAGCTGACAATTTATACTTTCTAAAGCAACCAACAATTTTCTGATTTTCATTTCATTATATTTTCAATACATTTAAATTTGGTTAGACAATTTATATTTACATTATTTCCTTTATCTAAAGTAAAACGTGATTTTTATCTTACCAACAAGCTGTCGAATCAACTTGTATTTATTCGTTAACCGCTGTTGCACTCGTGTATCGTGTCCAAACGTCACCAGGGCCACATGTTCATTGGAAAGTCCATACCGCGTGGAGATTTCCTCAAGGCCTACAATTTCAGTCAAATTTAAATAAATTTGAAATGGTCAATGTTATTTTGCCGATAAGGTATAATCAAATTCTGAAGGACTAATACATGTAATAAGGTTAAGATGTTTGCTAATAAATGACTACATGGTTAAATATTAAATCAAATAAGAGAAATTCACACTTTAAAGCGTTACGCAGCTGATAGAAAGTTGATGGGTTTCCTTAACGAAATAGTTTTTTATTCAGTTTTAAATCATAAAATAAGAATCGTGTTGTTCACGACTTCTTTACTATTCTACAAATTAAGTATCACTGACTTTATACACATTGGTATTCTTAGAGTATATACTAGAATATTTTAAGAAGTCTAAAACTGAAAAGCATTACCGTTAAGATAATCTAGAACAAATCTTGATGCATGCGTCCATGCATTTTCTTCCGCCATACTTGCTGAGATATCAAGAATAATAGTAGTATGAACACCCTGTAAATCTCTAAGTGTTCTCTGCCCTAAAATATTAAATGATTTTGTTAATAATTGTAAACAGGGATTTTCTATTCTAGAATGTAGTCAATGAATCAAAATTTTAAATGTTGATCAGTAAAAGCTACACTGTATATAAGATTTAACAGCAGTTAGTGACCTTGTCGTGCAAATAAACTCTTAACTTAACCTATCTTCTATTAGCATCCTATACGAAAAATAACTTTAATTATTATATAGAGAAATGAGTATCTGTTTATACTACGTTTTAGTTAACCTCCATTTGAGCAATTGCATGCATTTGTATCATTTTGAGGTTTCATAAAATAAACAAAGCTTTTGAACTAGCACATACACACGTTATCATTTTGGAATAAGTTGAATTATGACATGTTAACTACCATTTGGGAATAAGTTGAATAAATGATATATGTTTTAAATATAACAGAAATGTCAATGTGAACATATGGATAAAATACCATCTTCGATTTCAATTCTTGCTAGGTATCTCCAATAACCTTCATTGCCATGTGTCTTTCTTTCTGTCTGCTCAACCATTTTAACTTGTAAAAGAAATTGTAATGTACACAACCAAATCATCTTTGTTGGCAAATATTGTTAAGAATTGATATAAGTCTATTTTACAGATTTTTTGAAAGCTTTTGGAAACAATAATGCTTTACTGATTTCAAACGTATACACTAATATCGTCATAATATAAGAAAGTGACCACGACATTCACCGTTTAAAATAACAAATATCATGTAGAATTTTTATCGAAGAATAAGTGATCACTAAAATATTAAAACATAGCAAAAAATAAATGTAACAATCATGAAATAAAACTTGACGTATTACAGAAATAAAACCAAAACCACTAACTACTGGACTCCATTGTAAAGGCGGCATCTCGGCTTGCACCTTCGGGTTCCTTTACTGGTGGTTTAAGTAATCTTAAATATAAACAAATAGTTTTGTAACTCTCAAATTTATCAGGCAGTTACGCTTAGAAATAAGTTCAAAAAGATGGTATTGTGAACCACAAATACATCAGTACAATACACATGTATATAATTGTAACATTATATGTTAGATCGGGGCATTTCTATTTGAATTTGAGAAAAAAATCTTGTATCATGACAATTTTGTTTAAAATTCAATATCATTTTTACATAAAGTTAAATTTCCATATGTCAAACTATAGACTTTCACAAAATGTTACTATACTCAAGTATGAACAGTATGAACAATTTAGCTTAAAAAATAAAAATAATGTGTGAAAGGTTTTGGTTTACAAGGTAAGACATATAGACGGATAGTACATAAAGGATTTGCCTAGCAAGGTTGTGATACAAACAGATCAAATTTATTTACTGAAACAAAAAGGTGTAGGAGAATTAAGACATATAGCAATTTTAACGCCCCTCAAAACTCCTTTATAAACTAATACCTTGAAGATCCTTTAGTTAGTGCAGTTTGCTTCTTCCTGCTTTCTGAAACGAAATTGTCTTTCTTTACAACTGGTTCTTGTGCAACGGTGTTTTCTTTAGATTTAGCTAACAAGGGTGACAGTTTTTCCTGAGGTACTGTTTTCTTGGTGAAAACATCGTCTGAAGTACTCTTTTCTGTTGAGGCTTTGGAATATTCAATGCTATGTGTACGATATACTTGACTTACATTCTCACTGCTTTTAGTCTGATATGTATCCTGAAGATTAGCATTTCGGAAGACTTTCTCAGAAACAGCATGTCCATTTTCTATCTCATCTCTTTTCTGTTTCAAAGTTGCAGAGTGTATCTTAGAATCGTCCGTTTGAAGTGTCATCACAAATGTTTCAAGCAACTCAACTCGTTCTTTTAACTCTTGATGTTCTTTTTCTTCTTCTTTCTGAAGAGTATCTTTTTCATTTATGACACTTTCTAGTTCTTTTACCTTGGATTCTAATTCGTCGATTTCTTGAAATATAGATAAATTGTTTGAAAGTAATGTATGTCACTCAGGTATCATAGTGATTATATAGACTTATATGAACATATTTTCAACTAAAATGTGTATGAAATTCACCATTAAATTGATTTTATGAAATATATGTTCTCACCAGTTTAAAATAAATTTGTAACTGATTAAAATACTCTTTCAGACTGAAACGTGAAAAGCTGAACTATACTACTCAGCCTTTGCCAAGCACCATATCTTTGATGGCATAATTTTATTAACGCCGTGTGAAAGGTTTTTAATGTTGATCAACTGTTTTATCAATTCAGCTGAAGGCCGAATTTAACCCTCCCCTCGTAATGAGTTTTACACTGATTTTGTGCTAAAGAAGAGAATGACACCCCTCTTTGAAGTTTTAAGAACATGCAGCGTGTTTTCCAAATTTGTTAGATTGGATTTTTGTTCTCATTTTTAGACTTAATACCGTGTGTATGACCCGTGACTATCACAGAGGCTTCTCATACTCCCTATTAGGTTTCTGATCGTTCTAACGGTTATGGCTGTCAATGCTTGGACCAACGTGGCTCCTGGATGATTCTGGGTTGCTGCTGACGAGCTGAAATTCTAACCTGCAGCTCATTCCACATCTGTTCTATTGGATTTGTGTCAGGTGAGCGAACGGCAAGTCCATGCGCTCAATAGACTCCCTCTCTAGGTAGTACTAGACCACGCTGGTTATTATGGGGCAAGCATTATTTCCATTAGAATGAGCTGATCGCCGACTTCCCAATCATACAACCTAACCTGGTTGTCTAAGATGCCGTCTATGTATTGCTGATCTGTCAATGTGCCTCTATTTAGCTCAACCAGGTCGGTTAGGCCATCCAAGCTGATGCCTCCCCACACCAAAACTGATCCACCACCGTAGAGGTCATGCTCAGCAATATTTGTAGCCTGAAACCGTTCATCTCGTCTTCTCCAAACCCTAGCATGCCTATCGGTGAGGTCTAAGTAGAACCTGGACTCCTCAGTGAACAGAACGTGTCTCCAGTGTTTCATAGTCTACCGTGTAAGCTCTATGGTTGATTCCAAATGAGCCTGGCGATGTCGACGCGTGAAGGGGATACGTATGCAAGGTCTTCTCGACCTCAAATTACCTTTATGCAGCCTTCTACGTACCGTCTGCGTGGAAACATGGACCTCCGCAGCATAGGCAAGGTCATTTCGAAGAGAAGTTGCTGTCGAAAACCTTGCACGAAGTCCCTGAACAACCAAATACCGATCCTGAGCTGGTGTTGTGACCCTTTGCCGACCTCCAGTATGCCTCCTGGCGAGTGTACAATGGAGCCGGTATCTCTCCTAGGCTCTGGTGATGACAGTGCGGTGTACACCAAGCGCCGCACCAACCTGGCGGAAGGTGACCCCTGCAGCACCATCCCTACAGCCACCGATTACTCTGCTTCTCCTAAATGCCGCCTAATGTTAGCATTCGCTATATCAAAGTGACAGATGTAAGAAATGTAAGTCACTGAATGACAATAGGCCGATAATGTCGCCGTATAACAAAAGACATGTGATTGCACACCCCATTAAAAACTTGAAAATATTGGGGTGCATGCTTTCCATGCTAACTAGACGAGTTGTAACGGATTAGTCAACACGGATTCATGTCAGTGGACTATCTCTTAACATTGCCGAATCTGAATATTCAAAAATTGGAAAGGAATCTGTTTTATACTTAATAATATAAAAATTAACTTATGGTGCCTAGCAAAAGTTGAGTATATCCAACGCGTAAAAGAATCATCATACTGTATTGATACAAGTTTCTATTTTTATCTGTTTTGAAGAAATGGTCAAATAAACAATGTTATGCTTATATTCCGTTAAATTGTCATGACAGCAATACGGAAGAAAAACCTGTTGATATCATTATCTAGAAGTAAAATAATATGTAAGTTATCATTTAAACATTTATCTTTAATATATCATCGGTGATTTTTATTAAGAAATTTTGTATAATAAAATACCTCTTCTGTAATGTTCTTGTGACCTTGCGCTGAAATAATGACATGCAGAAATGAATGCGACGCTTAATTTGTAATCATAAGGGTATCATGATTACAGTTTATGACAAAATATAAGTCGATAATTGTGTAATATACACATGTTAAGTTTTCTATTACAATTTACTTGCAGGTTTACAATTTGTTAATTTATTACTTATTCCAATTCTAAATCAGAGTAAAGAAATAAATGAACATTTTACTCATATTCGTGAAATGAATATATTAAATACAACAAACATTCCTAATATGTTTTGTCTACAAACACTGTAAATTTATATCTCAAATCATTTGCAAGTGGTAAATGATAAAGGCAGCTAGCCAAAACAAACATTGTTTAAATATTCCGCAAAGTAAAGATTTATATGACTATGATGATTTAAAACTAATGAAAACATACGATACTTGTAAGGGCGATTTATACTCTAAAGAAGTAAAATATATGTTTGTATACGTTGCTTATCCTTCTTAAACTTGCTATGTGTACCATGACATATAAGGTCATCAAAAATCCAGTCTTAGGCTATCAAAAAATGGGCAAATAGGGAGATTCTTTGGGACCGATGAATAAAATTATGAAAAGGTGACAATAGGCTAGATTTAGCTTTTTGGTAAAGATATAAAATTATAGTAAATTTTGGAAACATTATCCTGCTCACCAACTGCATTGTCCATCTGACGTATGATATATTTCGTTTAATCTCTTCAGCATAAACCTCTGGGATATCTGGATTTCCTGTGCAGCTTTAAGAAGCTCATCCTCCTGAATATACATATGCAAAACAAAATAAAATATGGGGACCTCCTCAGGGGAACTCCAAGATCATGTTTGCATACTACCGGTATTTCAGTTTCGTCTCCTCTCATAAAAAATATTGAGAATACCACATTTGTCTGACATATAATTTGTCAAACATAAATGCAATGTCGACCTATATATAGTAGGTAAACTAATAGCTAAGCAATTAAACAAAAGTGAACATTGTTCAATTTATTAATGCACCTTAATTCAATTCTGTTATGGCTACAAATACAAAACATCTATTTACAAGCAAATGATCAAAAAGCTTTAAAAGCGTGTTTTTGGCTTAAGGTTGAATGAGTTATGAGGAAATGGTAATATTTTGGTCTGCCTTCAATTACATAGTTCTAACAATAAAGTTTGTTTCTTTACTTTGACTGAAGTTGAACTCACCATTTTTATATGTTTTCTGGAATTGTTCGGCCGTTTAATTCAAACTTTCATCAGGATCATTGCTTATTCAACAAAGTATACATCTGCAAATTATAAGACATGCATTTTAATCTCTACGATTATGTTATTGTTAAATTTTTAAGAAAACAAACTATGAAAACTGTATAATTTTATTACAATTCTTATTGTGATACCATTGAGTTTCGGCAAAACATCTTCTCCTTTATCAGAAATTTGCGAACATTTCTCTTCCAGCTTTGATATTTTATATAGATAACAACTTAAACGAAAACACAATTTGTATTGTTTGGAGCTAATTAATTTTAAAAGGGGATTTTATATATATTCAGGTCTGTGCTAACTCAGAGGCGTACCTATGAGTACCTATGAATGAAGAACTAATATACTTAATGATATCACTTAACAACATCAGATATTCTCGGTCGCATGTGTACAGCATGGGTTGTAAAGATGTCACTTAACTAATTATTCATTGTAATAAAACCATATTTAAAAGACAAAAATACGCCAATCCAATAAGTATACGAGGGCTGTCCAAAAAATTCGTGCACTGCAGTTATTGTCGTGAGAGTTATTGATAGAAAAACATGAATTATATATCACTTAAACGGGAGATCTGTCTGAAATAAGAAAACAAAAGAACAAAACATGTAATCAGCATGTGGCGAAAACGAATCGTCATACAGTAACCTTGGTAACGTAATACCGGCGCACGACAAAAAAAAATGGGTTAGTTCATTAATTTGAGGCATCACGGTATTCTTTTAACACTACATATAAAAGTTAAATCTCAGGGAAAAGTGTGTGTACATATTCCTAACGTCACTATAAAATATTACGACATTTGCCCTATTGTAACGGTCGTTAACACACATTTGTGTGAGGTCGTCAATACTGTAATTACGTGAAAATGTCAGTCTCTAAACGGCTGAAAATACGGACGATCATTACATTTTGTGCAAATATTGGTACAACACCAACCTATACCCAAGCGGGACAAGTTCAGTGTCACGAAGGCTGGTTTTTAAATGGCACAAACGCTCTGTAGAAGGGCGAGAGTCGGTAGACGATGACAATCGGTCAGGCAGACGTCCGTCCGTAAAGCCGGCGCATGTGACAAGGGTTGTCCAATATATTCGTGTACTGGTGGAATATGTTACATGTACATTCCATAAGAACAATAAAAACTATAAAATACTTTGCATCAATCATTCCTCTATTGACAGTAAAACAAATTATAACATAAAAAGCAAATGCCACTTTACAAGCAACAAACAATTAATACAATAACAGTAATGAACTTTCCCAATTTTTTGTCGCGCGCCGGTATTACGTTACTAAGGTAACTTAATGACCATTCTTTTACATGACACGCCCATTACTTGGCTTTTTCTTTTGTTTTCTTATTTGAGACAGATTTCCCCTTCAAGTGATATATAATTCATTTGTTTTTATTAATATCTTTGACGACAATAACTGCAGTGCACGAACTTTTTGGACAACCCTCGTATCAATCAGATATAGCATTTCCATTTTCGAGAAATAGATACCTAACCATACCGAAGAACCTACCGTCTGAAAAAAGGTGTTCTTTGTCAGTGCCAGAAGAAACCTATTTTATATGGGATGTGGGTTAAAACCATTGAAAGATAACAAAATCTTTTCTTAATCCAGCGTCTTTCTATTTCATCAAATTTGTCAGATACTTGTTTGAATTACTAGTAAGCATTTATTTAGAAATGCTTTTCATTTGCTTTGTTTGTTGTTATTCCAACACAATATTCTTCTCTCTTAACACTTATAAAGATGAAATAGGTGAAATTATTCTTTAAATTGATGATAACCTATCAATGTTAATTTTTTATATATTTACATATTTTTTACATCTTAATATATTTATCTTTATCCTGGATAAAGAAATAAATTAATTTTATTCTGACCTTAAAAGATCAAAGTCGACTGTAATTTTGTGGTACTTTACCAGAGACTTATATTAAATATAGCTCTGTGACTTTACTTACTAGTGTAAATTTGTATTGAGAATTTTCCCTTAAATAACCTGCACTAGTGCTATAGTCCTCTTAAACTGTTTCATATTAAAAATCACACAATATTATTACAATGCATAAGTATTATTCTTATGAACCAAATAAATACACTAAGTTTTTTAGCATAATGTTGAGACCTCATCTTTTCGCTGCAAAATTTTATTTTATACATATATAAATGAATAATAACTATAAGCTACTTTCTTTTATGAATATGACTCACTAGATGACTAAATTTTAGACAAAATAAGCACTGAAGAACTTAAACGATTTGTGTTTAACCTATTTAATTTAAAATAAACTATATGTTTAAAGTATCAATTTTCAATGTGTACTTTCGGTTTTAAAAAGGTATTTTAAGAGTTACAGTTTTAACAATTAAGACGGTACTTGATTAATCATTCTCTATCTATGTGGAGGACAACATGATAAAAAAGATGTAAAAGAACTGAATAAACAATAATTTTAAATTGTAATTATTCTTATTTCGAATCATTTGCGTGTCCAAACAAATGCTAATATGTTACTAATGTTTCTACATAATTTAACAGTAAACAAATTTATTTTTAGTTTCAGACAATGGTTAAATACAGCTTAATCTTACTTGTTTCTTTCTATCCTAATAGTTCACAACATTTTACGTGTAAAAAGAATTATGAATAAGATCTTATTGTGTAATCTTTCCATATCGTCTATATTTAGGACGATTTATGGTTTCCCTAGCTAAATATAAATATATAGTACACGTATTTTATTTGTGATATTTTTTCATAATTAAACTTCCTTGTTTACAATGAAGAAAGAAAGAAAAAATAGTATTTCAATTGATTGTTAAACAGTTACTGTTATTAAATCCAAAGTACGAGAATATTACAATTGAAATTATGAAATTGCACATTGTTACGTGTACCTACCGACGTTCTATAAATAAATATATAGTGCGCATTAGATTGAAGTATGTAGTTTATCAAAAACAATCTCTTGATAAATATACATTGGAAAAAAAACCCTATTGACTGTGTTATCAACGTAAAATATGTATAAAAAATCTCTATTATACTTTTTGCACTTTAGCTATCAAATAGCAAGATTTTCTGAAACGATTATATGCCCGCAGGGTGCAGCGACAACGATTTCATTATCATTTTGTTGTGCAAAGCGTTTAAACGCTAACCAATATTACTCTTTTCTGTATAGTTAGTTATGGATAATTTGCTTCTGTTATTGATAGCTTACTGTATCATATAATGTTATTTCAATTTCATTTTTTGTTGTCCTCTGAGATAAATTGCATGTCGTTCATCATTGTGACTTTGTATGTTTTATTTTTATAATGTTTTTACTCTTGTATTTGTATATATGCAAACCTAGCTGATATCAATAAACGAAATGAAACGAATCCGGCTAAGAAAAACGATTTTAAAGTTAATTCTGAGTATATTTAATGACCCTTTAAATTTTAGAATTTTAATAGTCCCCAGTTGGTCTATATTAAAATTATTCTTTTATGTTTTTAGGGTTTTGGACAATGGTTAAGTAATCTTTACCGAATCTTCAATAAAGCCGCCATAGCGCACTGGTCTTAAAATGTGACAAAGGACTATTAATGTTATAAAGAATTAGCAAACACATGTAATGTTAAATATTATTGTTTATTTTTTAGAAACTGATGTATGGCAAGTTAGCAACAATTTATATATGTCATACAGTTTTCTATTTCAAAACAGTCTGTACAAAACGATTTAGACATATAAGTAATGAACACATGTGTACCTTTGTATCGTTATTGTAATGAGGCAAAAAAATTTGGAAAATTCTTTTTTTTATATGTCACACATTCATTTTTTATTTTTGTCTTATTTGTATACATGCATTTACAAAGAATCAATTATATAAAACATGCATATTTATTAGCAGATTTCAAGACAGATATAGAATTGTAGCTTTTGCAATGAGTCAAATATCACAATATCAATATACAGAAATATAAAAGTTATGTAACAATCACAAATCATTTCTTCAAAAACTGCATAAAGGTAATAAATTATAACGAAATTTGATGTGAAATTTATGAATATGTTTACAACAGAATGATGATGGATCAGGATCAAGCTATCCAACTAGCTAACGGAAGATCGGTGATTCTACTCGGGTTCCCACTCGTGCCTTTAATTGCTTAAACTTTGCACAAAGGACCACCTGGGGTCTTCCTCCGCAAGTAAAGCCAGAAAATAACATTTTGTCATAAGCAGTTTCGGTATGACTTAATTAAAGCCTAATAAAACAAACAAACAATTATCTCTCTGTTTTACTGATGAATCCTGGTGGTCTCCTATGGTCTTCAAGGTCAGTATTTTGTTGATTGTAAGAAAGAATTCTTATCCAAAACAAGTCTGTTAATGCATATAAAGGTTCTCAAACAGAATATATATATTCATTTGTTGCTGGTGATTAAACCTTTTTTTTCTTTAACTGAAAGTCCGTGCATATCAAACAAGAGCGATCAGTAATCACATGTGTCGCCTCATGATGGCCAATTTCATGTTGGGACAAATTTTGTGACAGACAGACAGACAGACGGACAGTGCACAACTAGACTTGGTACTGATCATTCCTGTAAAGTTTGGATAAAATTGCACCAGTAGTTTATGAGGAGTAGTACAGACAAGCTTTTGTGTATCTGGCAACACACAGAAAAAGAAACTTTTTTATCAAAGGGCCATAACTCGGCCAAAAATCATTCAACCGGAAAACCCTTGCAATATGCGCAAGGACTTGAGCTACAGATCAATCCTGTAAAGTTTCATTGAAATTGCATTAGTGGTATAAGAGAAGTAGTCCGGACAAACTTTAAAATTAAAAATTATTAAAGGGCCATAACTCCGACAAAAATCATTGAACCGGAAAATGCTGACAATATGCACAACTAGACTTGGTACTGATCATTCCTGTAAAGTTTGGATGAAATTGCACCAGTAGTTTATGAGGAGTAGTCCGGACAAGTTTTGTGACGGACGCACGGACAGACAGACAGACAGACAGACGGACAGACAGACGACGGAGAAGTGATCCCTATATGTCGCCACTACTCCGTAGAGGCGACACAAAAATCACTTTTAATGAATATCGAACATAACGTTAGTTTAACCATAGAGATTCTCAAGCTTGATTTAGACAAGCTTGCATCAGTACACGTTGTTTAGTTTGATCGATTTCGAGCAATACTAAACATTTTTATTCTTATTCTTATTCTTTTTCTCTGGCGGTGCTTCTGTAAAATCTGATCCAAGTACGTGCCCTTCGGAGCGGCTGAAATCGTCAAGAAGAAACATTTGATACTTTTTGATACACATTTGTATGCAAGTCTCATTTTTCCGATATAATAACGGAAGTTGAATGGCATATTATAATAGAATAAGATACTAAATTGATGAAACTAAAAACTTCTAAAATAATATTGGATTTTTAATACTATATCACAATAAGTCCAAGACAAAGTTGCAACACTTTATTTCTTTCGTTATGTTATGTTTTACCGTTTAAAGTTCATTTTAAATTATATATTTAACTGAATATATAATATTTGAATTTAAATATTTGAACTGTTGTCTTCAAAACATGTATATATACATGCAAACATACTACAATGAAAAAATTATATCCAAAAAGTTGTAAATCTTTTTTTTAAATATTTTATAGATGTACATTGTAAGATTATTTTCTTCTTTTTGTTATTTATAATTATGTTATAACATGTTTAAACATACAAAGCTCGAAATCCAGAGCACACTTCTATTTCACATTTTCCAGTTCCACTGTAAGTGTAATCACCCCTTTCTCCCTCATCCCAGCGGACCTTTAATATTGAAAAGTTCATTATAATATCATGCATTAACGTTCGACTTATTCAAATAAAGAATTATAGTTATTATATTTAAAAATATGCATTTTGATGAAAATTAGATAATAATTGTTAGAATTGTCATAGCACTCTTACTCAATAGTTTACATGTAATTAGAGGAAAGGATTATTATCGTTCATTTATTCAATAATGAGTTAATGCAAACATCATCAAGATATAAGAGTGGGTACCGCTCAAGCCGGTGCTAGAGGGCGTTAGGGATGTTGCGCTTTTTCATTATCCCTCATGTACAGACTCAATCAAACCGAGTCAGCAATTTTCATATAATTTTGTTATGATTAATGCTTCTGAGGGATCACTCTTGCTCCAGATTTTTATCCATGCAAAGAAATTCTCCTTTTTTTTCTTTTTTTTTTGCCAAGTATAGTACATTTTGTAATATCCTTAAATGATATTTTTGTTAAAGTTCAGGTTTATGGTCTTAAATAATAACTAAGGTTTTACCAAATGTCATCTGAACTATATTAACTTAATTTTCAAACCGATACAGTAAAATATAAGCCTACAGTAGCTTTAGGCTCTGTAACTCTGATAACGACACCTCTTCGCCAGTTTTGGACGTTTCCTGCAGATTTTGTCCAATCTTTACCTAATAAAAGATCATTAAGAACGTTCACTTCATTCATTTATTTATAATATTTGTTTCAAGACATATTCAGAAATGTCTGCCACTACATTCAAAACCTCTGTGTTATTGACTCTATGAAAAGAACCCAGTTTTTGTAAATACTAATGACCAAATTGCATATCGGCTAGATATTAAGCAATACATTGAGTGCTTAATTTCAAAAGTTCAGTCATATAATTCATAATATCGAATTTCATCCTTCATCGTAACCCAGGCATCATTTTGTTATCTTAACAAAACCTACATTCCATTTATATATTAAACTAATTTAAGATATTCTTTAGCAGATGAAAACGGTTTGCAGGAAACTGTACCTGTCTAACAACACAACCGACTGCGATTTCTTGTCCAAACCTGAGTTTCCGAGGTTCGTCGACAAATAAGGACATCATAACCTGGTTTCCCATATCTGTATACATTATGGTGGCCATCTTCGTCCCATTCAAGCCCATACTTGTTCCCCTTTATACAAGGACAAATATAGGTATATTAAGTTTTGTATTCAGTAATCAATCTTTATCGTTAATTCAACTGATATAAACTTTACCAAATCACATGTTAAAATCTTTGTCTGCTTTTTACGTCAACCAACAAAATGTGTAGTCACATTTTAATTCATTATGTATAGACTGATGTATAATATTTGTATCGTACATGTTTGTTTTCATTTCATATTGAAGCCCATAAACGTATTTGTCCTCTTTTCAATATTGTCATTGTAAATTAAATGCAAAATATTTAGTTCTTTCAAACACCACCTTTACTCATAAGTCCCTTTCATCATTTATGTCTTTTCGTGCCTCGTGTACTTTGTTATAGAAATTTGGCCTCGACCCCTTATTGTAATGATATAAGATGGCACGTTTTATATATACCGATAATGGGTAAAAAAATTGTTTTCAAATAGCTAGTCAGGTTCGCTGGTAAGATTTTATTGCTTTTACGAAGCTAAGAGAACGCGGGATATCGTATTATCGCCACTCCCCAGCTAATTAGCATAATATTAAACGACTTTGAGAATGCCGAGGTATTTCCTAGTGACTTTGTTTTGTTAATTTATAAACAAAATTACAATGATGTTTTGATCGTTTTGTTTGTCACAATATCTTTGGGTAACATTATTGTATTTTACTTAATTCGTTTACCGTAAATACGCATATTGAATATCGGGGAAACGAGTAAAAATAACAATGCAACAGTATAATATAACCTTTAACTAATAATGTTCTTGGTGAACTTGAAAATGAAATAAAAATCTGGAAAAAAACGATATTTTTAAGAGGTATAAAAATAAAATTGAAAATAATGTTAAAATCACCGCTCATAAGAATTGACAGACCAAACAATAACCTTTAGGTGAAGTATGTAGCGCAAATTATTTGCTACACAGAACATGTAATTTCTAATTACATTCCACCAATGAAAGACTAAAATTTTACCATCATCATGCCCTGTCACTGTACCAGGGCCATTGCTATCTTGCATGTTCCATTTCCAGTCAGGTCCTCTACGTACACGGCTTCCTATTGGTGGAAATTTGCTATCCTTAATCTCCCTATACATGTTTTGTTTTCCTTTGCTAACCATAGTAGCAAGTAAATTCTTTCGAGCATCATTTTTGATTTCAGCAATCATACGCTGTAAACAGATATGAACGTGTTCTGACACCCGATATTTATATGTCCATAACTTCGTTAACAAGGACAGTTTGCAAAATCCAATTCAAAGGTTTAAGTCAAATGTACATTTAACAAAACTTATTAGTGTGCATGTATTAATGGTTTCACATGTGTGTCAATTTTGGTAAGATCAAGCTTAAATTTCAATTATTACATTTGAGAGATACGATATTTGATTTATAAGATATCATAAGAAACATAGATTTAATAAACATACCCAATAAATCTGATTATATGCGTTATAAGCCAATGCTGTAAAATAAATGCATCATTGAGAGACTTGGGGTCGGTCTCATTTGGAAGCTTAAGACCAACGTAAAATTGTGATAAAAGTTTTTTAATTATCTGGACAATTGTTTTCACAACGTCCCGGGAAATGAACCCCTTACTCGTAGACTCGAATCTGGAGTTTCCGGCCATCTCTTAACTTATAGTATATTTTTAAGAGGACTCATATTTTAATTTCTTTTTTTTTTTAAGTTTTTGACACATTTAAGATGAACACAGAGAGGGTGTTTATTTATCAATGTTGTCATATAATTATTCCCAGGTCCGATACTCGTGCCTGTGCCTTGATGAGGTCCGTCAACATAAGACGCATTACTGATTACCTTATCTTCTTCGGAAAAGTCTTCTCCTGAGTTCCCAAACAGTGAAAATGGTAATTCTATTAAACCAAGTGGGTCTTGTATCTTTGTCTAATGTAAGATAAAACAAGATTGAGAAATACCAAGCTACAACGTTATGTGTCATGAGTATAAAGCAATCAGAAAGTCTACAATAATATTTAGCATACGGTTTTGAAATGTCATAAGCTAGAATTAAAAGCATTTAATGTGTATACTTATCTGCAAAAAGTCATTTGCATTTAGTAGCGTAACATGCTTTGTTTTAAATCATTGTAAATCGGGTGATAATTCAATAAAACTGATAACTTAAAAGTACATATTAAAACATTGCACAAATAATTATAAGGATATTTGATACCTACTGTTAAATACAGGCGTCTTGAAAACTGTGTACCAGATTTGAAATCAAGTCTTTTGCCATCTACTATAGCCATCATTAAATCGGTAAACTGTCGTGTGTCCTTAAATGTTAATTTATAAGAGTTTAGAATGACGACATGTTTTAAGAACAAGTTGATGTGTAAAATAAAAGATACTCTATATTTGTCCTTTGATTTCTTTGTATTCAAATATACTTGTCTTGAATCGAACCGCAGATAGCAAGTAGTCGCAAGTTTCACTGCAACTTTTAACAGATGATATGAACAAACTAGTGTTATATTTTGGCGATTTCATTATACCAATACAACTTTAGATTAACGAAAGAAACGCCGTATGACCGTATAATTCCTATTTTCTCCAAAAACGCACTATAAAGATATTAAATTTGAGCAGTATTTCTTTTCGGAGAATGTTTACTACAACTTATTATTGATAAACGCTATGTTGGAATTGTTTTTAAAATGTTTAATGATATATATACTTCGCTTGGTTTTCCAACTTTGACAAAATACGTGTCAATATGATTGCTTTTGTATTCTTCCATGCATTGCACTAACTTTGCTTTAGTCTGAAAAGAAATATATATCACATGAAATATGATTAGATATACAAATAAAGCATGGCGACGTTCACAGAAAGCAGTCCCCTCCCCCCCAGATATAATCTAGCCACATCAGCAGGACAACAAGAAGACATCAAACCAAATAAAGGTGACACGAGAATCATGCATTAGTAATATGAACATAAGAACTTAATCGGCATGTACAAAACAAACATCCATATCAGTATTTGAGTTTTTGAATTCCATAAAACAAACTAAATCACTTGCCAAAGGGCAATAGAAGCATAGTGATACATCACATGGTTGACCAATTAATAACCGTTTGGAAATTATAACAGGGCACAACATAAAAGCTTTAGGGAAAAAACGTTCTGGGGCATAATGGGCCAAATTTTACGTCACTGGGTGTTTTACAGTAATGTCGATTTCGTTTCACATAATAATCTGTTTTATTTCACTATTCTGCTAACGTTTCTATGATTCAATGACATTCCCTTTAGCTAAATAATCTTCGTCGGAACCCACAGGTACTGAACTACATTCATCACGAATGAAGTATATACTTAATGAGTACACATGGGTTACCGAGGATGCTAAATTGTATGACTAACTGGATGATGCTAGACAAAACTGAATCGTTATGAACAAGTGCCGATCTGTGACTGAGACTTGAATTGCCCATCTGAGGTCCGTTTATAATATCCCCCATATTCTACATTCAATCGCAAGGGAGTTTGTTTAATTTTCAGAAAACTTATTTGTATCCTATGCATTGATTTATTTGAGCATCTTAGCTCTAAATCTAATATATCTCTGTACAAAGAAAAAAACATCAGAAGGCTCACTTCGCTTAAATCTCCCGTAGCTTTATCCGGTCCTTCATATTGGCCCACTTCTGTAAGTTGACCGTCCGTAATAATTATCACTTTGGTAAATACTGTAACGTGGTTTACAACCTCGATATGACCTGAAATGAAATGAAATATAATACGTACATGGTATCGTTATAGAAATATAAATCTATCAGTTTATCACTTTGTGACAGAGTAAAAGCGAACCAAGTGCTAGTCATTATAAGTTTAACAATGCAGAAGTCTTTTAGACATTGCTTGCGAAATAATTTTTCAGTGACGGTAGGACGATTGGACCGAAGTAGAAATAAAATCTTAAGCTCAGTTTAATAATAACAATACTAAAAGGATTGATCTAAGTGTAAATGGTCTGGTCTAATTATTTGTCTTTGTCCATTAATTCATATGTAGTGTTTTCTATGTTTCAAAAGCAAATAGACAGAACTGTGTGCGAATAGTATAGCAGAGGTAAAGCAATCACATACAATATCGTCCATTAAAGAAAGCAAAATGTTTCACAAAGTTTCAAAAAAAACTTTAAATTAATTAGTCCATTGCATTCAATAAAAATAATGTTTGTTCTTGATTTTATGGAATAACAGAAAAAGAACATTACGCTCTGGTGATCCTGCAGTTCCTAAAGCTAACACCAACCCTCCATATAGTGGACTTGGTCCTCCAAGCCGCTGATTTTCTAGATAAATGAAGATAATGCAAGGTAACTGAGTAATCTATAATAACAAAGGTATCAAACTAAAACAAAGAAATGGCTGCTCTAAATATAAATATATATTTGTTTACTTCAAGATTACAACGTCATTTGTCCTGCATTAAAATGTGGTGAACCTAATGTTACCATATATCTAAGATAAATATATTTAATAAAGTTAAATACAAAAAAAAATTGGGCTGCAATAAATTGCGCAGCGCCTCGTATTTTTAACTTTTGAATTAATATTTGCTTTGTTAGTTTAAGACTCTTACCAACAAGCTGTCGCAATGTCTTGTAGTTATTTGTTAACCGCTGTTGTACTTTTGTTTCGTGACCAAATGTCACAAGAGCGACATGTTCATTGGATAGCCCGTACCGGGTGGAAATATCTTCAAGGCCTAAAAATATATATATATATATTCAGATACTCGTTTGTTAGCTTGTCTGTCGCGGTTGTTGTCGAGTTTCTTAACAAACCCATATTTGGTAAATCTCGGCATCATTCCAGATGTTTATTACTCTGCAAGTGACGACAACTAATCCCACATGACTTCTGAATCAGCGATTGAAACTAATCTATTACAGTGAGGTTTAATGTCAAGATGCTTTTGCACAAATTATTTTTGCCAAAATGATTATCTGTGACTCGATACATATAACTTTACAAAATATGATGTTGATAAGTTGAATGCATGTTTTGGCGATTTACCCCTTTTAAATACTGTCGAAGAAATCGTAAAGCTTGTGTCCATGCATTTTTTTCCGCCATACTTGCCGATACATCCAGCAATTATGACAGTATGAACCCCTTGTAAATCTTTATGTGTCCTCCTGCCTGTAAAATTGATATCTAGATGATTTCTTAGCCGATATTTACCCGTGATTTTTTCCTTCCACTATTGTAATTTGTCCATTCATATTGATTCAATAATTAAAGAAACCAAAAATATGGGAAACCTTTCGTTTTAACCCGGGGAAAAAAGCCATTCTAAATACCCGAATAAGGAATCTAATTTTATATTAAATTTTTCCCTTATAAAAAATTTTTTGGAAAAATATTTTAAATAAGTATACATTTTAAAATTTTTTCAGGCCCCAAAAGATGTTTAAAAGAATGATAAATTGATCCTTTGGGAAGCAATATAACAACAAAATTACATAAAAATTGCAGACCGGGGTTTTTGATCGTTTATGGGGATTATGGAAAAGGGCAACATCCAGCGCAGTAGCATCGGCTTAAGTGATATTCAGTCCTCAAAACTAAATGTGCTGGAATCAATGATCTTGAAGGACCAGAAAAAAACAAACACTTAAAAGAAGTACGGAGCAACTTTTTACAGCTGACACATGGTACTTGAAGCATGCTGTTCTTAAGAATAAAAGAAAATCTTTAAAATGAGGACATGTATATCTTTACCTTTAGGAATCAGTTGAAAACCTTTTTTTTCCTTAATTTTTCAATAAATTAAAAATAAAAACTTGAATTTTAAATTTTGTCAATAAAAATTACCACATCCATTTTCCCGTTGCAAGGGATCTCCCCAAAAATTTTTCGTCACCATATGACTTTCTCTCCCAAATTTCTCCACCCCTTTTAACTAATGAACAAAAGAATTTTCACTAACAATATTTTAGAAAACAATCAAAGCTAATTGTCATGCTACTGAAATGATAGAATTTGGTAAGCAAAAAAAAAACGTTCTTCTGAAATAAAACGTGTATTAAATATCATGACATTGAAGCATTGGAAGGAGAGTAAACCATTTTAAAAACAGCAAATAAGATTTTTTATCTAAGTCATAGAAACAATTTATCATTTAATCATTTAAGAAGAATAAAGTCAATTTAACGCTTCAGACATCGACTTTGCCGTGTTCAGATACAGAGCACTTACACCTGGACTCCATTGTAGAGGCGGCATCTTCGCTTGCACCTTCGGCACCTTTAACTGGTGGTTTAGGTAATCTTAAATATAAACATATACGGATAAATATAGTCCTGTACGTAGTTTGTATATTCGCCAGGAAGTTCCAACATGGAATGATATAATAAGATGTATTTGTAAGATAGATATATGTCATTGCTAAATTTGTTCACGAACTATGTTTTACTGAAAATTATGAAAAATTGGTTTTAAAGTGAATTGGTTAGTAAGAAAGGTTAACTTTGTAATATAATAAATAATTAAGAGGATACTGTTAAGTATCAGACATAACAACAGACCAATAAATCATTGTTGTTAGCAAGTGTGAGATACATGATTCTATATTACATATATATGTATTTATATTGCAGATAATAAATTGTTCCAGAACAAAATATTATTGTTCAACATATAATATTCCTACTGAATAACTTGAAACTTAATCAAGATTATTTTTTTCAAGTTATGATTTATTACAATATGTAAATGGTATATTTTTCTATTGTTTTCCACGATATTTAAAAAAA